CACTTTGTTCTACAAGGGATCCTAGAACATCTTCATCTTGTAAGACTGAAATTCTATAACCTCTAAACACTGTCTCTTCCCCTCCTTTGACCCAGCCCTTTGGAACCACCAATATTGTATCTCCATGTGCATATATTTGCCTCCTTGTGATGGGGTATCTTGGTGCACTGGCTTCAAGGTTCTGCCATGCTGAAACATTAGTGTGTGAGAAGTCCGACCTGTTCTTCACACTCTTTCCAATTGCTTGTGCCATAAAATGCCGGGGCCTGATATGTGCTGTCCGGCACGGCTCTCTAATTGGTTCATGTGTACATAACATCTTCTCATATCGGATGCTAACTTCTTCGTGATCAAACCACAGAGATTACATATATTTTAACCCCTACCTACCCGAAAACCCTCTACTGAGAAGACAGACCACAAAGTCTGGAGATCAGGGATTGTTCTTTGTTACTGACTGCCCCACCCCAGCATGTAGCAAAATGCCTGATATAGAAAACCACAGGACATACCATGCAAAGAAATGAATGAACCAAAGGCTGCTGACAACTGACCAAGAATGAAAAGTTGTGAAGTCACAGACCTGACTCTACAACAGTATTTGGGAGAAGTAATTTAAACAAAGATAGAAAAATATTAGCTAAACTGCAATCAGAACCTCTGAAAAACTTATTCTAAACATTATACACAGCAGGATGCCAGGCTCTTTCTGATTGGTTATTGAATAAGAGAACAGGGGCAGGATAACAAAGAATGTCTTGAATTGCCAGAATTCCCATTCTCTGCTAGGAGACAAAGCTAAGAAACACAGATGCTTACTTGAGAGTTAGGGCTGACCTAGCTGAGCATCTCATGCCCACAACGTCTAAGAAGAAGGAATAAAGTCTGCTTGTATTCTTCTGTTAACTCTCTTTCCTTTACCATCGAGGAACAGACAAATCCCCAGGATGTGTGTGCAAGTGAAAAAGCCAGAGATGGATAAAAATAATTCAATGACAAATGCTGGAAAAACACACAAAGGGGCAGAAGCCAGACATTCGTGGGATTCCCTGACAGCTCGACCCACAAGGAAGGGCTGGTCTGGAAAAAACAGGGCCTCAGGTTCCTGCCAAGCTGTCTGAGGCCCTGTCCTTCCCAAATCACTCCAAGCAGCAGCCAAGACTTTATGGTAACCCTTCCAGGTCTCCCAGAAGGACTCACAAAGAGAAATACACCCCAAGTTCGTCCATCGGGTGTTCCTCACCTAGACACCCTCCCTGGTGATGTGGTCCAGCTACACAGAAGGCTGGCAGCAGACAGGAGAGACCTGCATTTGCAGCTCCTAATGGCTCCCCGTTGTATCCGGAAGACAGATAATGGAAAAGCCAACCTAGCTCACTAGCGAGGGAAAAGTTAAAAAAGTCAGGTACCAACACCTAGAGACCAGAGGCAAGGCTTGAAGAAAAGGTCATAAACACATGATACAGGCACCCACAGTCCCTGTGGGGTAAGTCTAATGTGGCACCTGCGTCCCAGAGTCCTGTTGGGCAATTCATACTGGCCCTGCTTGAGGCATGCCTCAGGCTTCCACACATGTGACCGAATTTGGCCCTAACAAGTCTCTTCTGGAGAATGGCCTGCAATTAATCTCACTTATTACCTCTGAAAAGTAACAACACAGGAATGGCGGGCCAAGTCCAACTCCAGAGTGTCTAGGGAACTGCAAGCTGCGTGGCCAGGTCTCAGACTGTCTGGGCAAGTTGTGGGCTCTTTGCCTTCCTCTCCCACAACAAAGCCTGAGCAGGGACTCCAGACAGACCAAAGGAACCAGGGGATTTGAGGCGCTGGGCTGAGCTCACACTGACCCAATGGGAGACGACAGCCCTGAGGCTACATTTGGAGCAGTTTCCAACAGCGAGGGAAGAATAAGGTTGTCTGGTGAAAACTTGTGCGATCCATAAAACGGAGAACAATAGCAACATGGGGGAAATGTAGGGTAACACTATCTGTGAGTTCTTGTGAGTCACCGTTTATTCATTCCTGTGGCTACCAAGTCTTCAGATTCTCCGACGAGCTGATGGAAGTACAGCCAGCGCGGGGAGTCTCTTTACATCTGAGCCTTGCTGGGCAGCCTCGGTTACTGAATTAGCAGACTGTATCAGCCTGGAATCCACTGCTACTATCACAGAAACCAGTGAGAGTACCTTTTATTTACTTAGCTCCCACTTGCAAGGAGATCAAAGGCAATCCAAAAACTCTCAAAACAGACCAGTTTATATGTAAGTGAGTATGCCTACCCTATAAAAAGATTAAATAAATAGCTCAGGGTCGTTGAGTGTCAAAACCAGTAATAAAACTCACATCTCTAAGCTACAAATCCCATATTCATTAAGCTTAGTCACTTCTTACTACAAAGAAGAAACAAGAGACTAAGTCAATATCCAAAAATACCCACTTCACAGTGACTTACCACATGAAAATGGAAATCAGGATTCAGGACTGTGTAGAGTGCCTCTAGCTGGGACCTCACAGTTCACTTAGCTCTTGGGTGACTGCTCCTGGAATTCCACGTGGAACTGGAATGCCCAAGTTGAGCCCCCAGCTGTCCTAGCAACTAGAGGTTACCAAGGAGCCTCAGAAGACATTCCAGGGCTCCTTGGACTTCACTAGAACCTGACAACTGGCCTTTAGGCTTAAAGAAAAGCAAGCAGAGCTATTACAGACAATTAAGTCAAGATGGAAAGCTGAGGGGACTTCATGGAGGCTGCATTCTGGCTGCAGAGGCACTGAGGCAAACAGTATGCCAGGTCACTGCAAGGCTCACAGGCGAGCAGGGAGAAAGTCAAAGGCTTGGCTCTAACTCTAACACACCCCACCATCTTTCCTCTTACTTCTAACAGGTGTTGCCAAAACAAAGCTCTACAGCCAGCCGGAATTTCCATTAAAGCCCCCTCCTCCAAATATGCAAACTGAAAAACTATCTCCAAACGTGTACTCTGACATCTTGTTTGCAGTATGGAAAGTGCCGGTTGCTGTCCCCCAGCTAGAATAGCAGAGACGGCAGCACAAACGACTTCCGCCGGAACAGCTCTGCCTGGTCATGAAAACCTAACACTTGCAAACATTCATTCGTAAGGTGAAGAAAGTGGGAACAGAGCCTCTTTTCTACGACTTCTGTGTCGGGAATGTGGTCACTCTGTAGACTGTAAATCAGACAACAGACTTTCCTGGAGAAGACTGTGTGGAGGGCGCCTTGTCTCAAAAGTGCTGCAGCCCTGTTTGTCTCCAGCACTTCTAACCCTCAACTGAGATGCTTCTTTCGATCCCAACCACAGTGACTACGGGAATAAGAGGCGCCGCTCCAGGGCATGATGTAATGTGCTTATGTTTATGTCACTTCCTGGGCATGGCTTCTGGGCCCCGAATTAGCTCCTTAAATCCTAATTCTGTCACCAACAGAAACTCCAGCTGTTAGGTAGCCCCTCCTTCGCCAGGCCTTTGGTCTTCCTTTACAGGTTTCCACCAAAGCAGCACAAAAGAGGCAGGAGCAAGAACCACTGGGATTGGGGATGCGGGTGGGGGACACAACTCACGGGAACACCTGAGAGCTTCCTGCCCAGGGAAGAGGATCCCTGTGGTCAGGATGCTTCACTCACTCTAACACCCATGGCTCTTCATTGCTCATCTGACTGAGGGGTGGGTGCTGCTGGAGCCATACTCAATAGTACTACAGCAAGAAGGACGAGCTCATGCTCTTGTTCAGGAAATGTCACAGAGACAACAGTAGTTCAAACAGTGTTAAAAATTACATCGTCTGTATCACAGTTAGTTGCTGACTCAATATTGTTCTTCAAAAAAATTATTAGATAACTTTTTATCTAATATTATCATCTAATATCTAATATAAGTGATAGTGTGGCACCCCTTTAGTCCCAGCACTCAGGAAGAGACTGGTAAATCTCTGTGAGTTCCAGGCCAGTTGGGGCTACACAGAGAGACCTTGTCTCAAAATCAAAACAAAGCAACTTGAAGCTGGATGGGTAGGGAAGTGGGGAGGATCTGGGAGGAGTTGAGGGAGGGGAAAGAATATGATCAAAATATATTATATAATAAAAACAATAAAGGGGGAAAGCACAAGACAAAAATAACAAAGCATTATTATTACTCTGTGCCTGTGCACGCGCCATGACACCCTGCTGAGGTCAGAGGATGACATGCCGGGACAGCCCTCCTTCCACAGCAGGTTCTGTGGGCTGAGATCAGGTGGGTGGGCTAGTGAGGCAAGCACACCCCCAAGCATTTTCTGTATCAGGATGAGGATTTCATACAGAGACCCTTTCTTTGTTTTTTATGACACTGCCACACTTGGAAGACCTAGAACCACGTACTTCGCATTTGGGAACCTATTTCTTATTATCTTTTTTCATAAAGGCATTGTTAAAATACAGAAAGAGATCATTATTCGACACGGTGCTTTCTTTTTAATTTAGAACTTGCTTTTTGTCCAAGATCATTTGGATTTTATCCCGTATCACTTCTTCTCAACTACATAAAGGAAATACCTTCCCACCCCTCAAGTCAACATTATCAGAGGAGGCCTAACTATGTAACTTAATTATGGTTGGCACTTAATTATATAACCCAGCTTTTGGAAACATAAGAGGCAAACGCCCATCCAAAGCAGAGTCCGAAGGACCTGAAGCACAGTGCAGGATAGGCTGTAAAAAGAAGCACACACTGGCAAAATTCAGACACCAGGAAGACCATTCGACAGAAGTGAAGATAAACAGAGCAATTTTCCTAACTATCAGAAACTTCCTCTTCACTGAGTTTTCATGAAAACAACCTTACGAATTAAAGCGCTGGCCTTTTGGCTCGGTGCTGGAGGATGTGGGCAGGCAAAGGAAAGGTATCTGCTCACTAGCCTCCTGTCAGAGCTCTCTGTGGCACCATCCCACTTGGGATGCAGTCGCAGGCCAGTCCTGTGTAACCCCAACACCAGCCCTGAGCCCTTCACTCACCTGCTCCCAGGGGGGCTGGCGTGGTTCTCAGGAGCGTGGAGGTCTGACTGTATAGACCATGTCGGGCCACTAGGACTGATGACAGGCCGAAGGGTAGGGGGCGTGGAAGCACTACTTCTGTTTATGACACTGCTGGCCAAGTTCAGGTTTGCCACCTAGAAATGAGGGGACGGAAAGAACTTCATTTTACAAAGTTTTAGGAAAGGATCATGAAAAACATATGGGAGCAATCAAAGCCTGAGAGACTGACTCGTGTGGGCTGAGAGCAGCGGCTGTGACAAAGGCACAGAGCACAGACTGGCTTCTGTGCACAGAAAGCCAGCAGAGGGGGACCGGCAGTGTCTGTGCACTCCAGCAAACACTCGCTCTACCCCTGCACTGCGGATGGCACTGGGTCGGGGCTAGCAGCGTTCACACCAGACGGCCTTCGTCCCTACTGCCTGACAAGCTTGAGTTGTAGATAAGATAGTAACCAAAATTATACTAAGAACTTAGTCATTTACAAAGAAAAACGAGGACAGTCCATCAAAATGGGAATTAACATTCATAAATAATTTACAAAGATGGAATGTGACCATCGGCAATTTAACATTTTGAACTAGTTTCCATTTGTGAGTGAAAATTATTTTTTAAAACTGTAAACTGCAAAGAAATACAAGTTGTAAGACAAAACTGTGATATTGCAAAAAAGTGTTCAGGGTCAGGAGTGATGGCCCCGCGGTTAGGAACACCGGCTGCTCTTACAGAGGACCTGGGTTCAATTTCCAGCACCACATGGTGGCTCCCCACTGCCTATAACTCGAGCTCCAGGAGATCTGACACCTTCACACAGTCATGCCTACAGGCAAAATACCAATGCATAAAAATAAAAATAAATAAATCATTAAAAAAGAAAGAAAGAAAAGAAAGAGAAAGGAAGGAAGGAAGGAAGGAAGGAAGGAAAGGAAGGAAGGAAGGAAGGAAGGAAGGAAGGAAGGAAGGAAGAAAGAAAGAAAGAAAGAAAGAAAGAAAGAAAGAAAGAAGGAAAGAAAGAAGGAAAGAAAGAAAAAAGAGCCCAATGATGTCGGGGGGCAGACTAGATAGGTACTTATATCAATTTAATGATGTCGCTACACTACACTAGACTATTGTCCACCCTGATGTTTGCTTCCAGACCAAGAATGTTGCAGGTGATGAATGACAGTGACCATTACAGCAGCAGTTAGTGTTTATCAGAATTCAGTAAGAAATACGATCTGACTAAGTAAGTGTGAGTAAGTCACACATATCTCATGCAAATTCTGGTCACCAGTGCAGTGCCCGCCCTAATCCTCACTCTGCACAGGAGGAAACAGTAGGGACTGCACTGATGCCTTGGGATAAACAGCAGAATTAGGGCTCAAGGACTGGAACTCCACAGTCCGGCTTTAGACCACACGCTACAGAAAACATATACTTAAAAGCAAACATTGTTTTTTAACCATCAAATAGGAGAAGGTATAAATAGCTAACAAGATGGTTACATTTTGCTCTATCTATATAAGACAATAATTTATTCATCAACTTTTTTTTAGAAACACTTGATCTAGCAATATGATAACACAAGAAAAAATCATGCTAATAAAAAAATCACATGCTAATAAAAATTTACAATGTAAATTTCCTTAAACATAAATAAACACATGAATAAACTCAAAAATGAGAAAGAAAAAATCCAGAATACACATCATCTACTTCAGCATGACGATATTTTTTTTCTTGTGCTTCTGTATACTCTCCATATTTTCTTTTAATTATTTAATGATCCACAGCATTGTTTCAAAGTTGGTAGGTTCACTGCAATGGTGATATATTCAGTAAAACCTGGGCAGTGACAGCAGGTAGGAGAAAAGCATTTCAGAACAGGGTAGACAGAGAGGCTGAGAGGAAAAACCCAATGCTGAGTGAACGTAAGGCTCTTGTACACACGCTGCCAGATGGTATCTTAGGTCATCAGTCAAGAGAAGCAAACCAAAGGGAAATGCTTGCCTATAAAACGTCTGAAGTACCTAAATAACCTTGACATTTACAAATGAAAGAATTCTACATTTAAAAAATTATCTGAAATCATGAAGGCAGAAAAGTCATTTTTAGCACGGCTGTAGTGTTTCCTCCCTAGTTATAGAAGTTCGTAAGTGAAAACAGCCCAGGCCAGTGTCTTCTCACCAATGACTCAAACTACTTGTCTTGGACAGAGAGCTGTTTTCCATAGGTTGGGAGCAGCCTCTGGCGACTGGGAGGCTGGTGTGTGGGCCACACTTGAGAAGAGGCCGCGGGAGCTGCTCTGCGGTCTGGAGGTACCAGGGACAGAGGAAAGGCTCAGAATGACTCAAGGACACCTAAGATAGGGTGATGGTGGGATGCAGGGCGATGATGCGAGCCCCTTTCCTCTGGACCCAGGGTCTTCTCAAGTACTCTGTCCTACTTTTTCCCACACCCTACAGGTAGCGACATGAGCTCCAGTAGGACTGGAGAGCATATTCTCAACCCACACGGCTCCACACCTGTGTGCGCTGCTAAACACCAGGGGTTTTAAATTAAGAACACGCTCTTATAGGCTGTAAAAATATTACAATGTGGAAATATCACTGTGATAAGAAGAACTGTACTGAAAACTGGGGCTGGAGATGGTTCAATGGTTAGTGCTTGTTCTTCTTCTAGGGGACCAGGGTTTGGTTCTTAACAAGGACATCTGGAGTTCAAAACTACCTGTAACTCCAGCTCCAGAGAATCCAATGCTCTCTGCTGGTCTCTGCAGATATACATCCATAGACACACACTTAAAAAAAAAAAAAGTTGTACCAAATCATAATAATAGGGGGCTTAATAATAGTTTATAGTGGTTAAACAATAGATTAAAACGTGCACACTTAGTCATGTTTAGCATAAGGGGCAGGATTTGGAGACTAGAGCAGGCAGAAGAGAGGAGAGGACAGCTTTGACAGATGTGATAATCTGTGCTAGTGTGGCAAACACCTGCTTATTGAGTGTGCCGTGTGCTGCCATCCTTGCCTGATCACATCCACCCTGAGTGATACTCTTAAGTCTATTTTACCAACGAGGAAACAAGTCTAAAGCAGCCAAGCAGCCACACAAACGCCACCCATCTAATTGGTGGCAAGGTCAAGATGAGAGAGAGTGTGTTGGACTCCAGGTGCATGGGGCATGCTGTCCCTAGACTACACAGCTCACCACCTGAGTGGTGCAGGGCACTTTGGATGCTTTAACGAGTCCATGTACACTTCACCCATTACTCACAGAGGAAGAAAACCGAGGCTCAGAGAGCCTATCACAGTGCTTTGCCCAAAGCAGTGCAATGCTTGCAGAACTTGGGCTCTAGTCTCAAACCCGTTTTCTAACTAGGATGTAGGAAAACAATCCTATTCACTCTAAACTATTTGAAAACTGCCATTGGAGACCTCTACTGCTGAAGGAAGTGACTCTACAAGCATCAAGAAAGCAATGGCCACTCTTCCCTCCTTAAATCCTATTTCCCATTTTTCTTCCTCAGAGGACATTACAGAAGTGAGACAGAAAAAACAAGTTCAGTCCGTTTTATTTCATCCAAGTAGAGGAAAAGGTAGCAGGAACATGTGCCCAACTCTGAACAGCTGGTGGGTTGTTGCTTCATTCAATATCCACTCTTTATTCTGTGTATGAACCAAGAATTGGCAGCCATTGAGATCTCTTTATACATAGAATCAGGCACTGATAATTTACTTAGAGAGGCAGCAAGTGATTACTGCTTAGATGACAATACTCAGAACAGGAAAACTTTAAACTTTCTTACCTTTTTCTTCCAAACACTATCTTCACCAAATGGTAACAACCTGGCCCTTACCTCCAACATTCCATTCTCACCCACTTTGTCTAGAAGTCACTCAACACGTACCACACCTACTGTCCCTACTCCTGGCCTCCGAGATCTGTCTTGCAAGAAGTTACACTGCCAATCATCCAAAGAGTGAGGGAATGAACTGATCTTTCTTTTTAATAACCCATTATGTATAGCCACATAGTTTGCATCTTAATCACACTAGAATGGGGTGATTTGATACAGTTTTAAACAAGAAACAAAGGACAATTTGCAGGTCATTCTTATTTTCCAGCTCTGCCCTAAAGAACATTATCTACCAGAATGCTTCCTGCTGATGAACTGACAACCTGCACTGTCCAATGAAACAGCCACTAGCCACACATGGCTCTTGTGTACTTCAAATTGTTGTGGCTGAGAAACTTGATTTTAAACTTTAGTTTTAAAATTCAACTAGCTAGTGGCTAATTTACTGGACAGCACTTCCCTGTAGCCTTGACAATCTCTAGATAAATATGTATAAAGGATAAATTACTACATACAAATTATCCTGGTTCTGTCCCAGCCTCTTAGCCTTTTCCATAATGGGCAAAAGGAATCCCTGAACTAATGGATCCAAGCATCACTTTCTTTTGCTAACAAAGGCAGGTCTCCTAGTACTAGGTGAGTACACAGGCCAATGAGGTCTCTATACATAAGAAGATAACACAGGTGCCAGCTCACTGTAACTGCTTCTCTATCCAATTACATTTCCCTCTGGCTCTGACTAAATGAGGGAGCGAGAAATGGTACTGTGTGTGCTGGTATGCGGTCATAACAAGCATTTTATTGCTAAAGAATTTCTTCAAAGGAAAGCCTTAGCCAAAACGCACAAGAATATAGCAATACTTGTCATTTCTCTTACAGTAGAGGTCTCACAATACTTGTCATTTCTCTTACAGTAGAGGTCACACCCATTAGGTCAGTCAGCTTCCCTGAGCTGGTCACTAACTAGAATGCATGTTACTAAACTCCCAGTTCTTAGATTCATGGCACTGGCCACAAATGGGTCTAGAAGATAGGCAGGGCAATTTAAAAACCACTTTTAACGATAGAAACTGTGATTCAAAGAACATGCCCAAATTAGAGAGATAGCTCAGCAGTTAAGTGAACTGGCTGCTCTTCCAGAGGACTGGGGTTAGATTCCCAGTACCCATAAGGCAGCTCACAACAGCCTGCAACTTCTGGCTTCTGTGGGCACTGCACACACATGGTCTACAGGCACATAGGAAGGCAAAACATGTACATTCATTAAAAAAATAAAATAAAACTAAATTTTAAAAA